CAACCAGCGCGGTCTGGAAGTTCCCTTAGTCAAAGAGACTTTCATAGAATTTGTAGTCAGCAGATCGCGCAGGTGACCAAACGCTGCAGATCTACCGAATTTTGCCTGAGGGCTCCTGCACGGTCAGGCGCTCATGTTCGAGCACCGTGAAAGTAAAGAGCCCGCGTCTGATTGGATATTGGATTACGATGTTCGGCAACACTTACCCTAACGGGAGTTTGATACATATCGCCCCTGGCGAGAGACTTCTGCAGAATCTCGTCTCATTCCGCCTCTAGAACAATTCTGTTTAATATCTCTAATGTCAGCTTCATTGTATTTTTTTGAAAACAGTGGCGATTCCTGTAAATGGTTATGGAAATCCAAACTCAAACTTTGGAAAACCTGCCTTAATTCTGTTACAGCCTAATAGTATAGGTTCGTATCGGGGTCAAGGTGTCGATGCGATCTTAGTCCCTCTTTTACGACACCCCCACCCTAGGTTTGCCCATCTGTGCATCCCCCTCCCTCTTTACCTCCCTCCTCCTCACCCTCCCCTCCCTCATTTCCACGCTTTTGCGGTTACTTGCATCAACGAATGTCAGATCACCTCGAAGAATGTCATAGACCTCGCTTAAAAATTATACGTTGGAGGAACAAAAATTTTTTTACAAACTGGGAAATAGTGCAAATGATGGACTGCTCGAAAACCTTAATAGGTTGGCTAAAAAACAAGTTCGATCGTTTTGAACGTTTTGTAGAAATTTTAGAAATTAACTTATGTCAGCATGTATGGTACAATTGTAAAGAGCAGATCAAGGAGAGGGATTCAACTCTATTCAAGCGTCAATCATCATTTTGACAGCGACTACGTGCAAAAAAGTTGGATAGTCAATTTTTTTCATCCATTTTTGAAATATCCTGCTCAGAAAACCCCGGCAAACCTACCCCGGTACTACCCACCATTTATACAGCTGTCAAAAAACACCTATTTAAGAAGTTTCAATAGACAAGCTACAGAGCCAGCTACCATAGTGCCTTCAAAAGTTTCAAGCGAACATCTTGAAATTTCGAATATCAGAGATGGTAAAAACCAATAAAATTCGACGTTCAATTCATCACTCGTTCGAGAATTATACGGAGAACGTAGCTGGCCGGAAGGCGGAAAACCCTAGAGCACTAGTAAAACTGATCGTGCAATCTCAACGTGATTTGTTGGTGTATTTAAGACCAAAACTTTTGCACAAACCTAATACATTTTTAAGATGCAGGTCATAGTCTTGCTTCTAACAATTCCCGTATGCTCCTGCACGCTTGGGCTTTATGGTACAACGCAGTCGATCGGAGTAATAGGCAGTCTCAAATGTAAAGGAGGACCCGCCAGTGGAGTGAAGATGGAGCTCGAAGATGCAGAAATAAGTCAGGACCATATTGAGTAGTAAAGCCTTTATCAACAAAACCGTTTCGGTATTCAATCGAAAGCTGCAGCAGTAACGGACACAGATGGGACTTTTATGTTGACGGGCAATGCTAAAAAATGGTCTAAAAGCGACGCGAATATGTATCAGTATTCAATATTGAATATTTATCACAAATGCAACTATAAAGGGGTAGGCAGCATTTAAGTGAAAAACTCTTGATGTACCTTTCTCGTTTCAGCGCTGTTATAGAAAAAACAGCATTTATATTCCAAAAGAGTATGTCACTCTTGGCAAAAAAGCGTTGAAATACTACAACATAGGCTCATTGGAGCTTTCCATGATACCGAAAGGAGAGACTATTAGTTGTTCACGTTGATAGACCATAATAAACATTTTCAATTAATTGTGATGTTTTCACAAAGCGTGAGTTTCCTCAACGATAGTTGGGAATATATTTACTTACGAGCTGGCATCCCTGGTTCCACCCTTGGTCCGCTTACTACTGTCCTTGCCATATCTAACGACAGCAGAACAAAATGAGCTTCACCGCTTATCCTTCATG